GAGCCCGGGCTGTTCAGCGTGTGGGCGCACAATGGCGAGGTGCGCACCGCCAGGCTGCTGAGCGAGCGCGACGCCGCCAAGCACAGACTCGTCGTGCTGGTCAAGGACAATGGTGAGCCGCCAATGTCGGCCACCGTCACGCTGCACGTGCTCCTGGTGGACGGCTTCTCGCAGCCCTACTTACCGCTCCCGGAGGTGGCCCCGGAAGAGGCCCAGGCCGACTCGCTCACCGTCTACTTGGTCATTGCGTTGGCGTCGGTCTCGTCTCTCTTCTTGTTCTCTGTGCTCTTGTTTGTCGCGGTGCGGCTGTGCGGGAGGAACAGGGCTGCCCCGGTAGGTCGCTGCTTGGTGCCTGAGGGCCACTTTCCAGACCACTTGGTGGACGTCAGCGGCTCTGGGACCCTGTCCCAGACCTACCAGTACCAGGTGTGTCTGACAGGAGGTACTGGGGCCAGTGAGTTCAAGTTCCTAAAACCAATTATCCCCAATCTTCCACCTCAGACCACTGAGAGAGAAGTGGAAGAAAATCTCTCATTTCGGAATAATTTGGGGTTCTGATAATAGATGAAAAATAAGTGATTCTGTGTCTGTGAATATATTCCTACTAAGAAATTTATTCTGCAGCACCTGTTTAAAAAAAAAAAAGTGTTTCACATTATTTCAAGTACCCTGAAAGTCAAAGAACGATTTTCTTTACACAGAAAGGGATCCAGCTTCAGCCCTAAAAAGCCCTCCACAAAGCATGGAATTTACTTGTGTCATATTTTGTCTTAGACAATTAGCTTAATGCCCAGTATATGACATAATAAATCTTATTTGAGATGTTTCAAATTGCTTTTTATTGTCTTCTGTCTTTATTGCTATTTTCATTTTCTGAGTTGATCAGAGTGCTGTACAAGTATGTATACACTAAATTTCAGAAGCACAGATTTTAGAGTTTTTAAGCTTTAATATTTTTATCATTTACTGTGCATCATACATTATTTTAACACTTTTAATCTCAGAAGTAAGCCTACACGGGGAAGTGTTTTATAAAAGAGGAAACGAATGTTCACAGTTCAGTACGTTCACTGAGTTCACCAATTATTAAGTGGCAAAGCTAAGCGTCTCTCTGATCCGTGATTTGTGAGCTTAGAAATAATAACGTATGTATTGGTCTACGGTTTGTATTTTCTTATAGACCAGTTGTCCAGCTTTTCTGGATCGATTAGTTATTATCAATGCCCTGATCTAAAGAAATTCCAAGTTAAAAAGAATCAGAAGGTCAACCTGTGCTTTCTCCTTGTTATCTGAATCGTTACACATTTCATTTCACAGAAGAGATGAGTGGTCATGAATAGGATCATTACATAATTTTGATTGCATCATTAGTTTTTATATTTTTCTCAGATTCCAATAATTTTTCTACAGTATTCTCTACCTGCTTTTGTAATACATTTTCTTGCTTTAATTGAAAAGTTTGTTTTAACCAAGTTTCCCACTCTATATATTATAGTATTGAATCAGGAAATTATAAGAAATAGAATAGTTTTAGATATGCAATATTTAAAAAAAGATCCCTAAATTACTTAAAGATTCTGGGAGTTAAGGAGAAGCTTTATCTGTTATGATAATTTATAACTCCTGTTTCTTTAAAAATTGTTCAGATAATTTCAGCAAAGCCATATTCTGAAACTATTACAGGCTGATGCTGATGACTCTAAAATTAGTATAGGTAGTCCCAACTTACTACAGGTCCCTTTCTGATGACTACATCATAAGTTGGTTTCGACGTGAGTCAAATACCTCTTTTTTTTTTTTTTTTTTTGGCATAGCCCGCTATAGGACAGTGTTTGAACAATAAATCATAACAATGAACATCTTCTACTGAACGTCTGAGTATGACAACATCAGCAAATTCTGCCCTGCAACATTGTGTGTAGTACATATTACTGATGATAAGATGTACCAAAAAAAAAGACAGTAGTAAGTGTGGGGACTACATGTACTATTATTGTAAATCATTAGTAAGATATAGTCTAAGGACCAAGAAAAAAAGCAGTGGTAAAATATTAAATTGTTTTCGTAGTTTCAAAATAAAAGTATTCAATTTCTTCAAGAAATCAATGACATGGAAAAAAGGAAGAGGGAAATTTATACAACAAAAGAACTTCAGAGGCATGCCAACCAAATGCAATCTGTTGACCTTGTTTGGATTTTTATTCACAAAGCAAAAACAACTTAGAAAGAATTGGAGAAAATTTAATATAGATGTAAATAATATTAAGATATTAATAAATAATTCTCATAGATTTGATAATAGCATTGTAATTAAGTTGGATTTTTATGGTATTAAGAGAGATAAGTAATGAAGTATTTACAGGTAAAATTTTAGGTTGCCTGAGATGTGAAAATGTTGAGGGAATAGAATAAACTAAATATTGATAATTATTGAAATTAGTTGTGAGTACTTAGGTTCATCATACTATTTTCTTTGTGAAATCTGAAATTTTTCAAATTAAAAGTTTTTAAATTTTAATTCTGAGGAAAAAGAAGTGGGAGTAATAAAGAAGATATTGTTCTGAGATACAGAATCATCTCTGGGGTCACAGATTATACCTCTGTTTAAATAAACACTCCAGCCTTTCTTTGTTCAGCCACCTTCATCATTTAACGTGATAATTTCTGAGATAATCCTGCTCATGCACCTTCTTCTACCATGTGAATTTTGAGGTGTTTTTCTAGTTACAGCAGTGGATTCATTCAGACTCAGGTACCTGGTTGCATCAAATTCTGTATCTGGTTTGTTTCTTGGGGGCTGTCTAGTGGTACATCAAAGGACTTTATCAGAAACTTGGTTTTTCTACCCTGCAGTCTCACAGACTAGTTCAGTCATAGGCTTCTTTCATTTTATTATTCACAATAAAATAGAAATAACGAAGATATATTACAAATAGATGCAATGCAATTGTGAAATTGTATTCTTTGGCCAAATGAACTGACAGTCTTATCTGTAAATATTCTATGCTTGAGTGATTCTTTTCCAATAGTGTGAAAGTTTAATAAAGCCATACTTTAAAATTTAAGGATGCAGGCTGGAAGTGTCCTATTTCAGAATAAGGTGTTTTTGATTCTTTAGAGAACTTCAATTTTAATTCTACTGACAACTTACAGTAAGTGCCGAGCCTTAGAAAGAGTTTACTCTGTGCAAGGCCTGGTTCTATGAATTGATGATAGATAAATAGATAGATAGATAGATAAAGTTAATTTATAAGGTTAAGCTCTCTGTGTCTCAGTTTCCTCATCTGTAAAGAGGGGATTCACAACAGTCCTATGTGGTAGGTACCATTATTATCCCCACCTTACAGATGAGAGGCAGAGAGATTAAACCATTTGTCCAAGGTCCACAGCTTGTAAGTATTCTCATAGTTCATGGAAGTAAAAGTATATAATATCTACGTTGCTCCCATTATATTTTTTAAAATTGTTTCTGCATATATTCTTTCTTCCCTACCAGGCTGTTAAGCAAATAATCTTCTTTCTGCTCAAAACACTATTGATAGTAGAGTCCCTACTACTAAATAACCTTTCTGTTGTGTGGCCCTCAGGCTGTTGTCTGCGCATTAAGTGCAGGTGATAGTAGTGTTGTAACCTTACCTAGCTGGTGGTACATACAAGCGGAGTTGAGAAAATTGCATCCATTTCCATCTCAGAAAATGTTAAGATCCTGTTAGGACACATGGTGGCGTTGCAGGATAAGAAGGTACAAAGGGAACTGCAGCTCTGGTTCCATTAACAGGCAAAACTTACCAACAGAGCCTGGAAGCCCACGGGAAGCTTGGACACCAAGGAAGGAGGACTGGGAGGTGAAAAGGGATATTCACCAGAATATTTAAGCTATCTTGTGGATTAATCAGTCCTCAGATACTGGGGTTTTACACTTCAGCGAATCTATCCTCTAAGGAAGCTGTACCAAGTAAGAACAATGGAGGACAGCAGGAAGCTCCTTTGCAGACAAAGGCAAGTCATTTTATCCTTTCTCCTCTTGGGTTTGTCTCTGGTGGGGGCGGAACCGAGGCGCTATTCTGTAGTGGAGGAAACTGTGGGCAGCTTCTTTGTAACCAATTTAGCGACGGACCTGGGTCTGGGGCAGAAGGAACTCTCCAGGCGAGGGGCTAGGGTCATTTCCACAGGGAACAAACTGCGTTTGCATCTCGATGTGGAGACCGGGGATTTGATGCTAAATGAGAAACTGGATCGCGAGGCACTGTGCAGTGACACAGAGCCCTGTGTGCTACGTTTCCAAGCGTTGCTAGAAAATCCCTTAGAGTTTTTTCAAGCTGAGCTGCAAGTAATAGACATAAATGACCATGCTCCGGTGTTCACGGACAAAGAAATATTACTAAAAATATCAGAGAGCAGTCCTCCCGGGACTACGTTTCCTCTGAAGAACGCTCAGGACATGGACATAGGTCGAAATAATATTGAGAATTATGTCATCAGTTCCAACGCCCATTTTCGGGTCCTCACCCGAAAACGCAGCGACGGTAGGAAATATCCAGAGTTGGTGCTGGACAAAGCACTAGATCGGGAGGAGGAACCTGGGCTCATGTTAATCCTCACGGCCCAAGATGGTGGCTCTCCGCCCCGGTCTGGAACAGTCCAGGTCCACATCGAAGTCGTGGACACTAATGACAATGCCCCTGAATTTGAGCAGTCTCTCTATCAGGTGCAGGTCCCTGAGGACAGTCCCATGGGCTTCCTGATTGTGAGGGTCTCTGCTACTGACATAGACATAGGAGCCAACGGAGAGATTTCTTATTCACTTTTCCAAGTTTCAGAGGAGATTAGCAAAACCTTTGAGGTAAATCCCATGACAGGAGAAATTCGACTGAAAAAACAACTTGATTTTGAAACAATTCAGTCCTATGAAGTCAACATGGAGGCCAGAGATGCTGGAAGCTTTTCTGGAAAATGCACTGTTTTGGTTCAAGTCATGGATGTGAACGATAACGCCCCAGAAATCTCCATTTCTGCGTTTACCAGTCCGATACCTGAGAACTCGCCTGAGACTGTGGTTGCAGTTTTCAGTGTTTCAGATCTTGATTCGGACGAAAATGGGAAGCTAGGTTGTTCCATTCAGGACGATCTACCATTCCTCCTGAATTCTTCTGTCGAAAACATTTACACTCTGGGAACAGACAGACCTCTGGACAGAGAGAGCAGATCTGAGTACAACGTCACCATCACCGTTACGGACTTGGGAACCCCAAGGCTAAAAACACAGCTCAGTGTAACCGTCCTGGTCTCCGACGTCAATGACAACACGCCCACCTTCTTCCAATCCTCCTACACCCTGTTCGTCCGCGAGAACAACAGCCCCGCCCTGCACATAGGCAGCGTCAACGCCACAGACAGAGACTCAGGCACCAACGCCCAAGTCACCTACTCGCTGCTGCCGCCCCAGGACCCGCACCTTCCTCTCGCCTCCTTGGTCTCCATCAACGCGGACAACGGGCACCTGTTCGCTCTCAGGTCGCTGGATTACGAGGCCCTGCGAGCCTTCGAGTTCCGCGTGGGCG